GTGTTAGCCAGGATGGTCTCGATCTCCTGACCTCGTGATCCACCCGTCTCGGCCTCCCAAAGTGCTGGGATTACAGGCTTGAGCCACCGCGCCCGGCCTATTTTTTTTATAAACTAGTAAAAAAGTAAAATCAAGAGGGAAGAGATTTGTAATGCTTCTTTTAAGTCATTATTTAGACCATTTTACTATTTGGAGACGTGTTTTTTATTCTACATGATTTTTACAGTTGGGGTGTCGACAACTTAACATTTTTTGAGCCTCTATGTTTAGAAAATGATTACTCTTGCAAGTATCTTCTAAACTCTTATCATTCAATCCTTTGTTCATGAGTTGGAATCTTCTCAATAATATTCCACATTAAAGTGATATTTAATATGACTTAGAAAAATGTTTTCATCAGAAAAACTATACATGGTAATTTCATTCTTGCAAACCAAACATAATTTATAAATCTTTATTATACAGAATATTTGGGATTATCATGGCCCATTAGTTTGTGTAAAAATATTTAGCTTTATGAGATAAATCTTTGAAAAATCCAACATACTTTATTTTGATGTCTTTCAATGTTTTCTTTCTTTTCTTTCCTCTTGTCTTTTTACCTTTGCTTCTTGTGACTGTTCCACCTGCCTTGATATTAAATACCCATTAGACTTTGAGCATGTTGCTTTGGAGGAAATGGTGGAACTTGATGGAAGGGAATGAAGGATTTCTGGGACTCTGAATTCTTACAGTTTGTTATTAGCATTATTTTAAATCTTTTAGTCCCTTAAGAACCAATAATGTAATCATTTATGGGCATGTTTTATCCCCTTTGTCCACCTGAAGGTAATCTCAAAGCAGAATTATTTTGTAGTTGATTTTAATGTTCTCTTAATGCCTGTCCATGTTTAACATTTTATTTGACTATTAGAACACATTACATAAAAGCAAATTGTTTTCATTTTAGTCCTTTAAGGACTTTTAAAAATATGCTTATCTTTATTATCCTGTTTGAATAGTATGTGGAGTTTTTCCTTTGTGTAAGTAATATTTCCCATCCTGTCTATGTCTACCTGGTTCTCAGGTATTACTTTAATTACTGAATTCTCCTAAACATTTAATTGACTTTTACAAAATATCATAAATAAAAGGATTCTTTCCGCCACCTAGCATTGTATTTGGCAACTTATCATTTAAGTCATTTTAGTTCTGTGTTTCTTCAAATATCTCTCTAATCGATATTTGAATTTGGGGTTGTGCTTTCACAATGAGAAAGTCTAAACCTGTTTCTTGTACATTAATACTTTTCACTATTCTAATTATGGTGATGCTTTTAGCTGTTAAGTATTTCTGGGATTGAAATGTGCCAGAAGTTAGTTATTAAGTATTGTGGATTCTGAAGCTCTCTAAATCAAGTCCTCCCTTTACCAATTTTTGTATATGTAGTCTTTGGTAAAGGATTTGTTATTCAGTTCCTTGGCTTTATATGTATGCATGATAAATGTGAATTCTACTGCATATTTTTGTATCAAGTAAGTTAATAGTTATAAATTATCAAGAATAAAGTCTGGCAAGTGATAGGTACATAATAAAATTTAGTTATCATTCTTAAGAGAAAAGAAGTTAGTGATTGCAAGAAGGAAACCTAAAATGTCAGAAAGT